TAGTGAGGTTGGCCCAGGATCGGACATTGTTTCATTCTGCTGTGTATGGGGTCGCTATGAGTCGGTTCCGACTCGATGGCACCTGACAACAACAATACTTTCAATATTCTGATTTATGTTGTTAACCACCAGCAAGTTGGTTCCAACTAATAGCAACCCTGTATAAGGTTTCAAAGGAACAGCTGATGAATTTGAACCACTGACCTTTCAGCTGGCAGTCCAGTGCTTATCCTACAGTACCACAACAGGACTTAGAGTCACCCAAGACAGAAAATGATGTGGAACTAAGGACACTATTGCTGACATTGGAAGGATCTTGGCTAAAAGTAGAGAATACCAGAAAGATGTTTACTTGTACTTCATTGATTATACAAAGGCTTTCAACTGTGTGGATAATAACAAACTAGGGGTAACAGTGCAAAGAATGGGTGTTCCAGAACATTTAATTGTGCTCCTGAGGAACCTGTACGTGGACCAAGAGACAGTCATTCAAACAGAACAAGGGGATACTGAATGGTTTAAAATCAGGAAAGGTGTACATCAGGGTTGTATCCTTTCACCAGACTTATTCAATCTGTATACTGAACAGATAATTATAGAAGTTGGATTATATGAAGAATGTGGCATCAGGATCAGAAGAAGATTCATTAACCTGTGATATGCAGATGATACAACCTTGCTTGCTGAAATCAAAGAGAAATCAAATATTGATGTATTGAAATCAAACACTTATTGATGAAGATCAAAAACTACAGCTTTCAGTTTGGACTGTATCTCAATGTACAGAAAACAAAACTCACAACTGAACATCATGATAAATGAGTGGAGAAATGAATGAAGATGTCAAGATTGAAATTTGCTTGGATCCACAATCAATGCTTACGGAAGCAGCAGTCAAGAAACCAAACAACATACTGCATTAAGCAAATCTGCAGCACAAGATCTCTTTAAAGTGTTCAAGCACGAGCAAAGATGTCAGTTTGCGGACTAAGGTGAGCCTCAGCCAAGTCGTGGTATTTTCAATCACTTCATATGCAGATGCAAGTTGGACAACGAGCAAGGAAGACCATAGAAGAATCGATGGAGTTCTGGTGTGGCATCATAAGATGAGCCCTTGACCTCAAGGTTGGTTTGAACTGCAAGGTTGGCAGCTCAAATTCACCAATCACTCCTTGAAAACCCTATACAGAGTCACTATGAGTCAGAACCGACTCAGCAGCACTTAATATCATCAACAATGGTTGATTTCTTCAACCATTTGTTCTTCTACTCGAAGAACAAATCTGTCTTGAAAGAAGTACAGCCAGAATATTACTTAGAAGTGAGGATGGTAAGACTGCCTCTCTTGGATTTTGGACATGTCATCAGGAGGGGCCAGTCCCCAAAGAAGGACTTCATGCTAGGTATAGTAGAGAGTCAGTGAAAAAGAGGAAGACCCCAACTAGATGGATCGACACAATAGCAGCTACAATGGATTCAAACACAATAATTGTGAAAATGGCACAGGACCAGGCAGTGTTTTGCTTTTGTGTGCACAGGATTGCTGAATTGGAACCAACAATAACAATATACAGGGTGTGTGAGACTATAAATCTTTACAGGAGCAGGTGAGAATTGAGGACCTAGCAGTTAGCAGCCCAACACCTAACCCACAGTGCCACCAGGTTTCCTTTTATATCCACTAGAATAATTATAATTTAAGGGGGGAAATGTAAAATAACAAGTGCTTATAAGAAATAGGAACATTTGTACACTACTGGTAGGAATAAGAAAAGGGGTAATTGCTTTGGAAAACAGTTTGCCAGTTATTCAAAGTGTTAAACACTGTTGCTGCTAACTGCTTTCTAGTTGATTCCAACTCATACAACCCCATGTGTTAGATACACAGTGATGGTAAGCCAAAACAACTCCACTCCCTGGTATAGAACCACAAGAAATGAAAATGTACATCCACACACAGACATGTACATAAATGTTTACAGAAGTATTAGTCAAAAAGCCAAAATTTCCATCAAAGGATGAAAAGATAAACAGATTGTGGTGTATAAGCACAACGGACTATTATTCTGTCATAAAAAGAAATGACGCACACACACATGCTACAACTTGGATGAGCCTAGAAACATTATGCTCAAGTGAAAAGAGCCACACAAAAGGTCACGTGTTTGCTGAGTCCTTTTAGAGGAAATAGCCAGAGTAAGTAAATCCAGGGGGTTAGAAAGCAGACTGAGGAAGTGATTACTCAGAGTCCAGGGTGTTCTTGCCACTAGAGCGAGGGGATGGTTGCACAACATCTGGAGTATGTTACATGCCAAAGGAAGCAAAGACAATG